TAGGTCCCATTTGTTTATTTTTGCTTTTATTTCCATTACTCTAGGAGCTATTTCAAAAAATATATTGCTGACATTTATGTTAGAAAGTGTTCCGCCTATGTTTTCTTCCAGGAGTTTAAAGTATTTGCTCTTAACATTTAGGTCCTTAATCCATTTTGAGTTTATTTTTGTATATGCTGTTAGAGAATGTTCTAATTTTAGTCTCTTACATGCTGCTGTCCAGTTTTCTAAGCACCACTTACTGAAGAGACTGTCTTTTCTCCACTGTATATTCTTGCCTCCTTTGTCATCAGTTAGTTGACCATAAGTGCGTGGGTTTATTTCTGGGCTATCGATTCTGTTGCATTGACCTATGTGTCTGGTTTTGTGCCAGTACCATACTGTTTTGATGACTGTAGCTCTGTAGTATTGTCTGAAGTCAGGGAGATGATTCCCCCAGCTCTGTTCTTCTTTCTCAAGACACAGCTTACTTTTAAACAGTTCAGCCAAAAACAGAGTGTGCGACACGTATCACATAGGTGTGAGGAGAGAATATGTATTGGAAAGAGAACTAGAGGGATGTTCATTAAGGGGAAAACTTACCACCAGGAGATAAATGGGTTCTGGAGATCTGATGCACAGCGTAGTGACTATGGTCAGCAATACTGTATTATAAACTTAACAGTTGCTAAGTCGCTAAGAGAATAGATCTTAATTGTCCTTAACACACACACACAAATAATTCTGTGACATGACACAGCTGTTAGCTAGTTCTGCAGGATGGTCATCATAGGGCAATACGGAAACGTATCAGGTCCACAAGCTGTGCACCTTAACCTTACCCAATGTTACTTGTCAGTTATAGCTCAAATTTTAAAAAGCGACTAAGGAGATAAAGCAAATGTGGCATTTGAGTTACAACCTAAGACCCCCATGTCCTCTTTTAGAACTGCCTTTTCAGCAGAATTCAGAAGACTTATGACCCAGGGGCTGGGCTGGGGAACCTTTGGTACTGAGGAGCGAAAACTGCATACTCATAGGTTAGCAGTGTAGCATCTGAAAGACTGAAAAGATGTATTTCCCAAGTCATGGTCACATGCAATTGGAAAGAGTTATAGCATCCGGCTAATAAAACACCGAGCAGGCATCCTGCAGGCCCAGTGCAGAATGAAAATATATGGTCTCTTGGTCATACATTACTAACAATTTCCAAAAAAAATTAAGCGGCTATTGTTTTGTTGAGGCTGTTTTGTCTCGTGCACACAACTTGAAGCTTTCTCTACTACGGGGACCACATTTCTCCATCAGCAGGTTGTCTGTGAAGGCACAATGATGGAGCAGGGCCACCCGGGGTCCTCAAGAGACAGAGGGAGTCAGACCAGTGGAGAGTACGTAAAATTTAATGCAGACGGACCAGTTCAAATCTCAATTCAAGCACTTCCCAGAAAAATCCCTGAATTTTTCTTTGCCTCCATTTTCTCACTTTTGAAATGGGATGGATAAAACCTTTCTGAGTTGTCAGGAGAATTAACCAAAATAAATGATGGGAAATAGCTGGTGTAACGCCTGTCGTTTAATAAACACTCAAGGCTCAGTAGTTCCATTTTCCTTCGGTTATGTCATGAGTCATATACACACGGATTTGTATGTAAGTTAAATTTTGAATAGTTGAATCTTGAGACGTGTGTGTGTGTGTGTGTGTGTGTGTGTGTAGAATGTGGATTAGAAAGATACGCCAAATCATCGACAGTGTTTTATACAGGGGTTGTGGTGGGCAGTCTTCCGCTCTTCACTTTATATACTCCCTGTTCAAACTTTTTATACTGAAAATCTATTTGTTTCTTAATAAGAGAAAAGAAAGAAAAGCTGAACTCCTGGCCAAATATCCAGAGGAAAATATAGTTCAAAATGACACATGTACCCCAATGTTCACAGCAGCACTATTTACAACAGCCAAGACATGGAAACAACCCAAATGTCCATTGACACATGACTGGATAATGAAGTTGTGGTATATATATGCAATGGAACACTACTCAGTATTAAAAAAAAAGGAAATAATGCCATTGGCGGCAGCATGGATGGGCCTGGAGATCATCATTCTAAATGAAGTAAGTCAGAGAAAGAAAAATGCCATATGATATCGCTTATATGTGGAATCTTAAAAAGGGACACAAATGAACTTACCTACAAAACAGAATGAGACTCACAGACATAGAGAACAAACTTATGATTACCAGGGGTAAAGGGCGTGGGAAAGGATAAACTGGGAATTCAAAATTTGCACCTCTTGGGGCGTGATGGAAATGTTAGCTGTCTTGATTGTCCTGGTGGTTTCATTTGTGTACACATCTATCACAACCCATCGAACTGTATATCTGAAATACGCGTAGTTTACTGTGCAGGAATCATACCGCAATAAAGGTGAAGAAAAGAAAGAGAGAGGAAGGAAGGAAGGAAGGGAGGGAGGGAGGGAGGGAGGGAGGGAGGAAGGAGGGAAGGGGAAGGCAAAGAAAGGAAAAGGAAGAGACAAGCCGAACTGTCTTCTCAATGCACTGGAGGTGGGAGTGCGTTGTCTACCATTTCAAGGAATCTTGCAATGAATCCTTTTCTAAATTCTTTCCCTCTTGTTTTCATCTGCAATCAGGACTTGATGTGCAGGATTTTTTTTTTAACGAAATGCCATACATTCTGGTCGGTAATGGAACTAGACGGGATGGGAGAACAGAAACTGATTTTTAAAATCTGTCCTCGGGGGAGGGTACAGCTCAGTGGTAGAGCGTGTGCTTAGCATGCACAAGTCCTGGGTTCATTCCCCAGTACCTCTGATAAAATAAATAAATACATAAATAAAAACCTAATTATCCCCCCCAATACAAAAAAAATCTGCCCTCGAGGTCCCACAGCCTGGCCGCCCCACTTCCCTGTGAGAGCATAACGCGTTCCTGGGCTCTGCTAGGGAAGTCCTGGCTGTGTGAGCCGGTCCAGGGGCCCCTGTTCCATGCGGTGACATTGTTTATGTTCGTTTACACTCCTGGGATAAGCAGGCCACGGTAGTGATGTTCACAGAACTGAGGCTAGTCTCCGACTTAGGAGAAGAACATCACAAAGCAAGAAAGTTAAAGCCTTTCTGGCTTGACCCTAGCAACGGGTCAGATACCACTCCCCTCTCCCCTGATTGGACACTGTAGCTTTAATTTTGGAAAACTTTACCGTTTTGGAAAAGGCTTCTTCCTGATGCGGGGCCAAAATCAGTCTTCCTGCAGCTTTTCACTGTAGTTCATTCTTTAAAGTAAGTCAAGTCAAGCCGTATTTGTTTATTTAAATTTTTAAATGGAGGTACTGGGGATTGAACCCAGGACCTCATGCATGCTAAGCACGCGCTCTACCACTGAGCTGTACCCTCCCCGCCAAGTGAAGCTTTATTGATCTTAAGTGGGGCGGCCCTACAGTTGTCTGAAAACTGCGCTCATCCCCCTGCCTCCAGGTCTTCCCTTCGTCAGAGTGACCGTTGGCATTCCCCTGTATTCATAGACCTATCATTGTCCTAGGCGCCGTCCTCTGGAAATGCTCATACTTGTCAGGGTTCCTCCTGAAAGTGTGTGGCCAAGTAGCGGGCATATTATTCCACGCACAGTAGAACCAACACCTCCTGGATGGCCAAGTGTCACATCGAAGATACGAGTCTCCAACTGAGGAAGTTAGGAAAAGAACATAGTTAAGTAAAAAGGAGGGGCTGCTTAATAGGAGAGAACAAAATAATTAAATGAAAAGCAAGCATATGATAGAGAGGGTCCAAAAAACCCAAAGGTGTTCCTTTGAAAAGTCTAATAATTTTTTTTAAGTCTAAAATTCATAAGCCCCTAGCAAGAGTAATGCGGGAGGGCTGTTTTGGGTCATCCCCAGTGCCATCAGAGCGTTGTTTTTATGTTTTTTCAGTGGATATAGTGATCGGTGGGCAAGTTTGTCTGATAGTAGTTCCTCCACTGTTACAGAAGCCCTTGAGATAAAATAGATGTTTAAATTATGGAGTGGTTGGGGGAAATATTTTGACCTTCTCTGCCGTGGGAAATTAAATTTTGCTTGACCTTAAACACCTCTCTCTAAGTAGAATAATCAAGGATGGGTAAGTCAGAGTGAGTGTCACTGTTGTAATGGAGATCATTTGCATGCTCTACTTATAATGGTGGTTAACATCCTGATGGAGCCCAAATCTTTCAGCTTTAGAAGTCAAATTCACATTTGTGTTTTAGTAGCAGACCCAGAAGCGGGGAGGGTATAGCTCAGAGGTAGACTATGTTCCTAGCATGCACAAGGTCCTGGGTTCAATTCTCACTATCTCCATTAAAATTAATTAATCAAATTTTTTAAAAACCTAATTACCCCCCCAATAAATAAATAAATAATAAATAAACAAAAGCAGATCCAGAATGGACAGTTTTTTTGAAGTTAATTTTGGATGGATCTTCAGGAAGTAAAAAGGAGACAGGCAGTTCGGTGGAAGCTACACACAGACTTGAAGCCACAGGATGCAGCCTCAGGTCTCAGCTCTGCGGCCGTTTTCTCTGTGACTTGGTCAAGCCTCTCTAGGCTGCTCTTGTGTAAAATAGAAGACAAATCCCATCGTTCCCATGACAGAGGAGCGAATGAAAATAGTTGTTGCCTGTGAATCTGAAAGGGTCAGGTTGCATTTTCTT